GAAATGTAATTTCACTGTGTACATTTCATAATTCCTTATCTTAAAGAGCTAAGAGCTATGGAAAAGTGCCTTTAGTATCTTAATTCTAAGTAAATTAATACTTTTCCTCAATAAAATTAGGGTTCATAGATGCTTACTTTTGCTATGGATGGACTTTCACAAAACAAATAAATAGTCTTGATCACCTGCTATTGTTTTCATCTAGACCCTCAGCTGGGAAGGGATGAATGCGTCATAGGGTCAAACTTCTTTGCCTCCACGAAAGGCAAAATTTATATAGTGAGGCAGGTCTGTGGTGCCACACAGCAGGTATTTGTTAGTCAGAAATTGCCCTCCTTTCTGCACTGATTTTTATCTTGGGACTAATATTTTTTCAGCTTTTGAAACAGTTTCATACTAAGAAAGAACCGTTGGCTGTGAAAATGTTTTTGTCTAGATTGACATTATGAGTACCAACAGGAAAATAGCTCAAGTTTTGCCTAGTAGAAGTAGTTTGGAAGGTAAAAAGGGAGAAGACATTTGCTTCTGCTCTTTGATTAAAGCAGGGAAAAGCAGATGCTATATTGCTGAAGTCAGTGAAGCTAAACTTGAGTGAGATCACAGTCAACCCTAATGTGTTAAAGTGAGCAAGGTTCATGTACAGCATGGTTTAAACAACCACCAAGTTTAGCTCCCAGGTAGAAATCCACTGCTCCTGCATCCCAGAGTGACTATCCTGCTATGCAGGGATTACTTATTAAGCCCTTTTAGATAAAAGATATTTGGGAGGGAGAGTATAGACTGAAAGGGGCCAGGACAGGAGGTGTAGAGGAAAGTTTGTTTTCTGGTCTACTATCCCCAATGACTCACAAATCTTTTCTTTATAGATCCTGCACCCAGAGAGAGCAACCGAGGGTAAGAGATTATAGTTCTATCACCGTGTGCTGCCTGGGCCCAAAGCAATTTCCAGAGACAGGCAAAGCTGAGAAGTTATAATATATAGTCATGTCTGTGTGTATGCATGTGTGAATCGATTTAAGTAGTTTGTAGATGTATGACTGATTTCATTACAAAGTGAGTCTTATGCTGCTACTAGAGATACATATATTATCCGTACATATAAACCATTGACTAAGTCTAAGACTGAGATTGGACCTAGCCACACCCAGACTCCTCTCTGAGAAGGAGTTTAGAAAGCAAGGGGGTCTATTCTGAACCTCGTGACTCAACGGGAGGGTCCTCCTTATCCCCTGCACCCGCGATCTCTTTGTGAATCATTGTAACTCAAGCATAACTTACTTTTCCTTTGTGTACTTCTTCCATGCAGTAATAAAGAGAACCTTGCCATATTCAAATCTTTAACTAAGTTGTTTTTCTGATTAATTTTGTCAAATCACTTTGATAATCTACTGATGATTGAGTGCTATTAAAATATCACAATCAAATTGTGCGGTTTGCCACAAACAAATCCTAAACTGCTACTAAATAAATTGTGTGAATCAAATCAAATTGTGCAAATAAAATTCATGACAAATTGGAGTAGTTGGCAGGATCCTAAATCAGCATTTGTGACAGCAATGCACAATGGGACCAAACACCACTAGGATCATAGCACTGCTGCTAATTTTGTTGCAGGTGGAAGATACAGCCAAATGACTTCAAAAGAAATTATTTGCCTGGCCAACATCCAAAGGTGGTGTACCTGCTGTATGAAATCAGGTGGAGCAGAGGTACCATCTGGAGGAACTGGTGCTCGAACAATTCTACCCAACATGCTGAAGTCAACTTCTTGGAAAATTGTTTCAAGGCCATGCCATCAGTTTCTTGCTCCATCACCTGGGTCCTATCTACTACCCCCTGTGGGAAATGCTCCAGAAGAATTCTGGAGTTCCTGAGGGTACATCCTAGTGTGACCTTGGAAATATATGCAGCCAAGCTGTTCAAGCACCTGGATATCCGTAACCGGCAAGGTCTGAGGAACCTAGCAATGAATGGAGTCATTATACATATAATGAATCTTGCAGGTAACCCAACTACTCTTTGGCTTTGTCTAGGTGTGGATTGAAAGTTCTGGGATTATGTGTGTTCTCAGCAGTTGTGCTGTGTAATAGTGGTGATGACTGGCATTGGGAAGGACTAGTGAGTGCAAAAATGCCACTCTCTTCTGCCTTATTTCTTCCCCAATCTCATACAGCAGCAGGACCAGCATGGTCATTTCCTCCTGCCAAATCTGCACAAGGAGATTTATGTTTTTCTCTAGCCATCCATGCCTCCTTTATATACAGTGAAAAATCCTGAGCATAAGATAGAACCTGTCCCTCCTAGCATATATATGAAGATCAGCTTGCCAGCTGCAGCAAGTAATTGGTTTTCCTTGTTAGCTGGAGAAGACAAGACATATCTAAAGGAGACTTTCAGACGATGCATCGCAAAGGACAACTGTGTCTTGCATGTGTGCCTTTTTTTGTATGTATATCTTGCTTGCCTGTTGATGTTTGGCTGTAAAAATAGACCAGACAAGTAGCTCACAGGGGGGAATGTACAGTTGAAGAGGTGAATCTCACATAACTGCCTGGATACTTATTACTGGAGTGTGCAGCTACAAAACGTACCAAGTCAAATGTAAACTTAAAGGACATTGCTTATCTTGGGAAGCCTGTCTCTGGGATTATACCATCAGAGCATTGACAGAAGCTCTGGCCATCCTATCAACACTAAGATCAATATGAAACTGCTAAATGTTAGGGTGTTCACTCTAGGTTTTCCCTGATCATCAAGGTAAGTCAGGCAGATTCATAACTGAAGCAACAAATTTATTGTCTTACCCAAAGTTGCTGTGATGAAGCACAAGGCTGCCAAAAGGTACACCTGAAGAGCTCTGATCGCATGTGCCACTTCCCTTTACAGTGGCTCCAGAGAAGCAGCTTGCCACTCACCAATACCTTCTCCCTTGGCCAACGTGCTCTGGCTTTATGCCCTGACGCACTGTCTGTGATAGGGGTTGCCCAAACCACTGTAGTGATCTCTCTGTCTCTGGCAATTCCCCTTTTTAGACATATTGCTATTTGTAGAGTTTTGGTTCCCCTTTCCGCTAACTTATTTGTGTAGTTGCAAGTCATTGTTTGTCCCTTGCATGAACACCCTCAGATGAGTATCTTTCTCCAGCTCTTTACTGTTGTTTTACCGAGAAAGAAGTGACTCACTGGCATATTCCTGAAGAAGGAACTGGGCAAGCCTTTCATCAAGAGTGACTGGATATCTCTCTTCTCAGATTACAGTTACTGGTGGAAAATATTTGTTGCATACCGACATGGAGAAGAAGGTTATTGGCCCTGGAGCTTTGCTTCATACATCTTTCTGAATCAGACAGAGCTCTGTCATATCCTTTTGGTTAGTAGGCACCTGAAAAAAATGCTGAGAGTGAAAAGTAATGCAAAATCCTATGAAAAGGAGGTTTGGAGGATTCTGACAATGGTGTTAGCAGAAACAATAGTAGGAAAAATAAGCATGGGCTTGATGCTGCATCAACAGAGGGCCAAGCAGGTGGGATATTGCAAGGACTATGCTGCTACATTGTGCCTTTGTGGCCAGGAGTAGAGAAGAGATTTAGCAATATTCTCAGGGTTTTTTACTAAGAAAAGGGTAAGTTATTTCAACTCTTTACATGGATAAGCTACAAGTTCATTAGCTTGCATCTTACTGGAGCTATTTGATCCCAAAAGCTCATTCAGCTATGTAAACATGATTCAAGTACACTCTTTTTGCCTCTCAGAACAGGGCCACTGATTTTAGTTAAGTTCTGAGCAAGTTCAAAAGCCTAGATGGGTGGATTCGCTTTCAAGATTCACCTTCAGGATCAGAGCTTACACATAAGAGTATCCTATGACTGACATCCACATTCCCTATTTCTTGCAATCCATACAACTGCAGGAGTTATTTGTAAGGCCTGAAATCCTACTATACAAGGAAGACAAGGTGATCTACTGAACAGGAGAGAAAATCAGGACTGGAGTTAACTTCCTGGCTCAGCCACCCTTTGTGGGGCAAGCCAGTTTCTGCTTGAACCAGTCCCTATATGTAGAATGGGGGCTAGCAGAATGGATGGCAGGAGATAGAGGGAGGGATGCACAGAGCTATGTACTACAGACACGAACTTATAGTCTAGAAGGAGAAAAGCTAAACTGTTTTTAGGATGCTATAAATGCCTTGCTTTACTTGGGACTAAGGAAAAGGTATACATTAGGCTTCATTTCAGTTCCATCCACCCCAAGCTTTACATAGGTCTTTTAATACCTCAGGATGTGACCTTTCTCATTCCATCTGAATAAGACATTCAGGTGACAGGATACAGTCAGTGGCATTTATCCAGTCAGTCAGCTGATTTAACAAAGTAGTTAATGCAATGTAACTGCTTAGGAGATATTTTCCCCTTGGCTTTCAGCCTTCCTGAGTCTCCTACTGTCTGAGATGATTAAATAATTTAGCAGCTTACTGCACAATCAAATGCATGGTGTGATGATTACCAGGGAGCTGAACAGAGCTGTCTCCTAAATGCTTGTGAGTACCAACAAACTACGGCTGACTCAGCACAGTTCCCTGGGCAGCAGGTCAAAGCAAACATGCCCTTCAAGACTTGGTTTGAAAGAGCCAGCTAACAAATGACCTGACACTCCCCGTGCCTCTGGCAACCTTGGTGATTACTGCAGAGTCCTGGTGGCTAGGAAGCTTGCGCTGGGACACTCATGCTGAAAGTCAGGCACTTGAACAACTGCTTTGCTGCCTCAGCCAAATTCAAGCCACCCCTAAAATGAAGGTGAATAGGGCCCATCATCTGTAGTTCTGACTAATCACCAACACTCTGCAGAGGGAATGGGAAGGTCTATGGGCTCAGCCCTTGTGACCACCCAGCCCCATTGTACTAATTGTGCATGTTCAGGTAAGTCTCACTGACCATTGTCAGCTGACACAATTCTTGGGGCGGACCAAGAACCCCTGAGCACAGAGGTGTAATGAGGAGAGTTCATTCCAGGCACATGCTCCAGAGCAATATAGACCATTGTGTCCAGTCCTGGCCTTCCTGGCACAAGAAAGACACCGAGGAACCGTTTGGTGGAGTACCACTGCAATGGTCAGGGTGCTGGAGCACTTGCCCTGCATGACGCTGAGGGAACTGGTTATGTTAGACCTAAAGAAAAGGTGGCTAAGTGGGATCTAACTGCAGTTCTCCACTACATAAAGGCAGCAAAGACAGAGCCAGACTCTTCTCACGGCTGCACAGAGGGAAAATGAGGCAACAGGCACAAACTGCAACAAGGGAAATTCCAACTGGACAGAAGTAAAAAGTCTCCCCTAACAGTGGTGCTGTACTGGAACAGGTGCCCAGAGAGGCTGTCAGACCTCCAACCCTGCAGACACTGAGAACTTTCCTCTGAGCTGCCTGATCTAGCTTTGGAGTTAGCCATGCTGCAAACACGTTGTTGGACTAGAGACCTCTAGAGGGCCTTTCTAAACACCAAAATTCTGCCTTTCCACAGGACCTAGCTCCACTTCCCCTGGATTCAGCTACTCCATCTGCCACCTTTTAAATGCCTCTGTTTCTGAGTGGTATGCCTTTCTAGGAGGGGTTTACACAGCACAGTAAATTCCAAGGTGCTACCTTGTTGTCTGGAAAGCTGTGTCCCAAGGGAGTTTATCTGACAAGGCGAAGGTGGATCAGAGTGATCTCTTGGACCAGATGCTGCATTTTCAAACTCTGTATCATGTTGAAGAGACAACTTCAGCTTTTGACATCTAATTTTCAATGTTCATGTTTCTTTCTTCCTGCTAGGGGCTTCCTCCGCTGGTAAACTTTGAATACTAACGAGCATCAGCAGCATGCCTTCAGGCTCCCTTTGTGCATTACAACATTATTTACAAGACTGGAAAATGCAGTCCCTGGCAGTCTTCCCCACTACGGGCTTGAACTATGAGTTCTGTGCTGTCACCAGAGAAGAGCCTTATCACTGGCTGGGCATTGCTCAGTGCTTGACACAGCCGAAGGAGCACGTGAGAAACCATCAAGAAGTTCAGATGGTGCAGCCAGGCAGCCAGGACACAGTGCTCTGGGTCTTTACAAGGCTTCCTGAGAGTTCAGTGGGGGTGGGGACCAAGCCCCAGGATCAGGCATTTCATGTCTGCTGATTCTGCGGTCAGATTCTGAGAGTACCCTCTTGAGAGACCAGTGAGTAACATTTTTCCTGCTCTGATCTGTTCCAAATTAGTAATCAGAGCAATGCATTCTGTTTTTGAGAATTTCTTATGAAGATCACTTTTACGGCTATGTGTGTACATTTCAGAAAACACTTTGTGCTGTTAGTATTTACGTAATATTATTACTATACTACTGCTTTTATTACAACGTAATACAATTATATTACTGAGGCTTATATTGCTTCATTTTAAGGTTTTATTATCCCTGTTTTTATGACTGTGGAAACAACAGAATAAAAGGGAAAATGTCAACTCTGTGGAAACTTTGCATTTCTTGTTGAGTTCCTGGGCACACATCCTTCCCTTGTAATTCCGCACTCTGCAATCCCAGCTGTTCATTGCAAACTGGGGGAACACAGTAAAAAAAATCCCTGCTTTTCCATCTGGAAGCACTGAGTGGAATGGTGAGGTAGGAGATATGGAAAGCTCTGAGCTATCTCTACAGGCAGAAGTAAAAAAGATATAGGTGTATTGGGCCTTGCAGCAGTTTTCAGTTTGCACTGCAAATATTGCAAAATATCTGAATGAATCATGTTGGGAGCTCCATATTTAATGATTCCTAACCTCTCCAAGCAGGAGGCCTATTGTGTGATCCCACTGGGGAATGTGCTGCTGTTGATGATCTGCAACATGCAGGCACAAACGATTATTTGAAGAATAAGGCAGGGGCTGGTGGGAACCATGCCTATCTCTTCTAGTTGATTAATGCTTATAGTATCCTTTGGCCACGCCAAAGTGTCCAGATGTTCAGCAGACAATCAAGACAGGCAGAAAAGTTGCAGGCTGAGGAAGCAGCTCCAGGCCCTGCTGTCTGAGAGAGTATCTAAAGCTGAGCACGGCTGGCTGGGGAGTGTCTCCTATGTTAACCAAATAAAATTACGCCAAGCAGTGTACACACATGGCCAAAGTTTTCTTCCCCCTGTCCAGGTCCTCAGCCTGGATGTCACATGCTTTCTTTCTGGCCATTCTAGTGCTAACTCTTTGTTCCCTTAGGGAGAAACCAAATCACTTGATCAACATATAGTTGAGTGCACCTGGGTCCATAACCATTCAGCAACATAACTTGTAAATTACTGGTCTGCTGTGGAATGTGGCAACTGGATTTGAGCTTGATCAACATATCTATCTTCAAACATCTTCATTTGTGTCTTGCTTTGAAACTTCATTACGGTACAGAAGTCAGCTGAGTCCCACCTGCGAATCCAGAAAGTACAAGAGCACAAAGCTATACAACAATGTGTAACGTCCATGGCTAACACAAAATGGAAACCTCAGGTGTTAAGAAAATCTGCAAGACCTGAAGACCCATCCATGTCTTTTTCCATAAATACTTAAGCATCACAGAATCTTGCACACAGCTTAGCATTGCACAGAGAAGGTTTTACCCATAGCAGTGTGGGAATTACTGACACATTGCTAGTTCACATGAAATAATCTAAAAATGCTGGCAGATGTCACTACTTTTCTGTACCTTAGAATAAATATGCAGTCAGACTTTGACTTTGGAAAGGTCGGAGCTCAGTGTACCTAAAACTCCAACTCTATGGAGGAAGATGGCAGGCTGGGTGGCCCAACTCTGTGGAGTAGGATGGTGACATTGCCTGGTGATTAAAGAAGACGTGAATTTGAATTAGGAAGGAAACGGGGATTGATGGGAGATAATTAGTTTTGAGAAGACCCAAGAAAGAGAACAGGAGCCTTCTGTAAGTAGCACTAGGTGAAAGGCATTAGATGGTCCAGACCTAGGGCTGTGTCAACCACATTACTCTACATGAGAAAGACCAGTAGTCCAGTAAGGAATAATATATATCAGACCAAAGTTGATCCTATAACAGCAACATGGTGACCTGCTCCAAATCAATTGCTTTTTCCTGCAGCATCATCTGAGGGTGAGTACAGGCACTGCTGTGATCCTCCAACCTTGCTCCTGACAGTCCAAGGCCCATCTCAGTGAACTATTACCATGAAATAGTTTTCTTGCAGGCAAGGTAGAGGACAGTGCCTTTACTGCAGGACAGATGGGTTATTCCTGGCACACCAGGAGGAACCCTATTCTTGCTTTGAACTTCAGCTAATACTCCTCTGTTCAGCCCCAGGCCAGAGAGCCTTGGGGTGAGGGTGGAGTGATGGCCGAGGGAGAAAAGCAAGGGAGAAATCAGGAAATACAGCAGAACAATTGAGAACAAAATGATTGATGAAGGAGGAAGAAAATGAGATCCCACTAGGCTCCTCAGATCATTTAACAAGGGTCTCTGCAGTATTATCCAGGGCAACTTCTCTCAGACAGCTGGTGCAGTAGGTGTGATTCTCTTCAGGTTGAGAAGAATGCCTTGGGGATTAATAACAGAAGGTCAGCACTAGCAAGAATATGAGATGGGTATGCAACCTGGTGATTTTTGGACATGCACCCTGGAAGCTGTTGGGCCTACTCCTGTTCCACCATCCTATCTCAAAGCAATACTGGCAAGTGTCCACTGGCTCCTCTGGGAGCAGTGGGTGCCTGTACAAGGATGTGCTGTTTTACACCCCTTTTCAACTCCCTATAGTTACAGTTTTGACTCTCTGATTCTTACTCCCAAAACAAATGTTTTCATTTGTTGTCCCTTGTCATTATCTGATTTTCTGCCCAACTTCTTGTTTGTTTGTTCCTCCTCCTCTGAAGGGCTAATTAGTCTTGCCAGAAGTCCCAAAAGAGAAACGCAGCGACAACAGGTTCCTGAAAGTGAAATACTAGGGAAGAGAAGAACAAAGTGAGAAGATGTAATACTTCCCACCTGACACACTCCCAGGCTCCAGATCTCTTCAGCTCTTCCTAGGCCAAATGTGGCTCCCGAGTATCCAATAGCCCTTTCTGAAGTGTAAGCAGCTGCTGTTCTGGGAGGGGAAATGAAGCAGGATCTTGGAGGCAGCTGAAAGCAGAGACAGCATTTTATGGAGGCTGTAACAACTCCAGCTGGAGTGTGATCAGGGTCCTGTGGCCCTGCCCCAGTAGAAGTGAGTCTGAATGAGAGGGGTGAGCCAGAGTTGTCCCCATTTGCTCAGCAGCAATCCTAGTCCAGTAGGCAAGAACTTTGCAGTGGTGATGGTCCTGTAATGTGTAGGACTATCACTAAGGGAACAAGACGACATGTGATAAAGCAGAAATGATGAACAGGGCAGCGTTAACTGCTCCATTCTTAGTGGACCTTGAACTCTGAAGTAAACAGTGTCACAGGCTGGTGCCTCTGCCTCCCCCAGTCACATCTGGCTGGGGATAGTCTCTTGCTACAGCTGAGCACTGGCTTGTAACGAGGCAGAGATCTCTGGCACCCCCATTCCTGTCATGGGCCACAGTTCTGCTACCGCTAGTGTCAGCTCTGGACGTTGCCAAGTCATTCGGATGCACAGAAGTGACTGGATTAACTGAAGTGCATGGACTCATTTTTAGGAATTAGCCAGCATGCGTGGTTCTTCATGAAAGGCTCATCCCTTTCCCGCTGAAGGCAGGAGGGCAGACATTTTCTGGTCTATTTGGAAGCTTGCCAGTTCAAGGTCAGCCCAGTGGAGATTTTTACACCAGTTTCAGCTGGCGGAGGAGACTTGCAATCTGCTGTATCCCTGCTGTGCTCCTACTGGCATGGAAGGACCTAGAGGTGGGTCTACCACACTGCTAACCTACAGAGGTAACCACAGCAGACAGCTGGTCCTCTCTCATTTTCTTCTGTCCCTGTGGACTGGTAGAAACATTGTTCCAGCTTGTAGAAGAGGCTAGTTCTTAACTGTGATTAATAACAAGATTATAGCATGGATACATCAACATCCTCCCTGACCTGGAACTGGCGTGCCACCTGCACTCACCCATGTGAGGACACAGGCCCCTTGCAGGCAGGAAGATTACCTCGCTCCATACCAGCCCTGCACCTTCGAAAGTCACATCAGCCCTCCAGCTGGTATGCTTAATAATAATAATAATTACAGCAACAGCAGCAACAATGGTGTTTTAGCTGTATCTTACGCAAGTTTGGAAGCCTGAAGGGAAACCTCCCTATCACAAAAGCATATGAAAGATTTAAAAGACAAAGGCAGCCTTCAAAATACTTGCCACACTTTGGCACCTACCCCTCTGCTCTGATGTCTGCTCCTGCAGCAAACCTCTTTCTCCTTCCCCTTCACAGGCTCTGCTTGTCCCCGCTGGCACTGTCAGAACAAATGGTCTCTTCTGTGCCAAACCCCTCCACGTTTCTTACGCGAACCAAATCTGATTTCCATCGCCACGAGTATTTAATACATATGTGATTAAATAATGAAATTTCTGCTCATAGAAACAGCAAAGGATCAGCACCAGGGAGGGAAGAAAAAAACCTACTCAATCTAGAGGACAATGTTGGACACGAATACATATAAGCTAAAAACCCCTTAAGGGGCAAGTAGCAGGGGACTGGACTCCATGACCCTGAAGCCCCTTTCTGTCCTGTTTTCCAAGTACCAGCATGTGGGAGAGGGAGAGAGAGCAAGGAGGGGGGAGACATGCTTTGAGAATCCTCCTTGTGCTTGTAGGGGCCTGGAGCATGTCTGTGCATTGTTTAATGGTAATCTGTTTCTTATTATTGTAATGTGATGTCCAAGGACGCTGTGTACTGACCTGGAGCATTGCTGTGTGCAGCTGTGGGAATGATGTCAGCGTCCTGCTCTTCAATGGGCATGTTCTGGGCGTTGCTGAGAGCCGGACTCCGACAGCCGTTTGCAGTGAAGAACAACATCCCTCCAGCCAACACCCTCAAAAAGAATGCCAAACACTCCTGTGTGCCAGGAGATGGCAGCCATGCCCGGTTTTCCCACACTGTACCAATAGCTACCACATGCCCTGTTTATCCTGTATCCTCTGCTATCAAAGACTGATCCTGCACCTCGCTCCGCTGCAGAGTTGGAGCTTTCACAGAGTGGGTGGTCTCTGTACCCCAGCCCCCGGGTGGTAAAGTGCACGTCAGTTGTCGTAAGACTGGATGTGACCCGATGGTCCAATAGCCAAAAGCTCATGCAGGTGGCTGTGTGCAGAGACACAGAGGATGATGTTCAGTGAGGATGAAGGAGCTACCCCCAGCTCCTGGGCAGGATGGTTTTCAGCAGCCCCCTGGCCCTCATGAGGGTGTGCTTACGGT